ATCTTCCACAGTTGCCTTATCTAAGGCAGCCTTTTTGACTACCTTTTCAATACTTGATGATAAGAAAATTATTTGAATCCCCGGTGCTGTCTGACCTCCTCAAGTCATTTTGGTTCCTTCATCTCAAAAAATGTTTCAGTTACCTAACTGGTATATTAAGTTGTTGTTACATGCAGATTCTCAACATCCATTTGAACCCTTAGCCTCATGTACCATATATCACCTTTCTCTTAAGGATTATTTTTTTGTTGCTACTGGCCTGCGGATATAGTGATGATGGATCATATCAAATTCCAACTGCAGTGCATGAATTAGGTTTCTGGTGAAGAGCATACTTGTTCTAGATGAAGTACAGTTCCCCTACTAGGGTGCTAATCTTCTATTGGCATGCCCATGATCTATGCATGGATCCATTCTGTATGGATAATGTCCTCACCAGCCCGTCCACCTTATCGATGTTGGATTCTAGCTGTAGAATGAGTAGTGATATGTTTTGGAAGTTAACATTTTCTTAAATCGAAAATGTATTTGCAATAGTACTTACCTCTTCTGTTACACTCTCCTCCCCCCACACTAAGAGATAGAGACTATGGATTAAGTCAGTCTCAATAAAGTGATAATATTATCTGAATGAGGTGCTTATATACAGTACCAAGATAGAGAGCACATTGACATAGGTGGAAAGTTTCACGAGACAAATATTGCCAAAGACAATTAAGTTGGAAATAAAAGACTGGAGCAAGCAAGAACAATTCAGACCAATGCTTAGATGGGCAAAGAAGGAAACCCCAGCAGTCGAGTAATAGCTGTAGTGTGAGAGGATGTAAGTATTACAGTTTTTCTGAGCTGAATGTGATCATACTAAAACTTGAACTTGAGATTAATAAAGGAAAAATCTGAAACAATTCAAACAATCTCACAATCAACACCTATGCATCACTGTATGTTTTAGTCATTTAAACAATATATAATATATCCTTTTTGTATTAATTTATATTTTTTTGCCAACTGTTAATTTGTTGCTATAATCACATATTTTTGTAAAAACAAATTTCATACAAAAAGTCGTTATCATTATACCTTTCAGTGTCAAATTGCATTTTATAATTTTGTAATGTTGGTTATAATTATAATTTCTACAACACAGTAGGTTTAATTTACAATTCAAGCTTAGTATGATAAAAGAGGAAACTGTTATATGTGTGTTTACCATGAACCTGAAAAAGTTAAGGAATTTGAAATAAGAATCAAAGTGAAAAAGTTTGGGAAAATAATATGCAAAGGATGTGCCACCCTCTATTGAGGTCTTGCTCAGATATCTGAAAATCATTTTTTTATAGATTACTCCACTATGTTTGATGTCAAATACTTACATTTGTCTTAGGTTAAAAATGACAGATTTCTCTTTTAATATTGTTTTATCTTATGCTGTAAGTGATCTCACTGATCTGCATACTGTGAAACTGAATAGTCAAAGAATTTCAGTTCTATATCTTTTACCAAAGGTGATGTTTATGCCATTGACAACGTGTAAAGCTTTGCTGAATCTTGTATTGATATAGACTACTGTTGGTTGCTGAAAGGGAAGGTTTGATGTCCAGCATGGCAGTGTTGAATTAAACAGTTTTTGATGTCATGTGCAAGACATTTATATATAGTTACAAAATCAGCCATACAGACAATAGCTTATATACTATTATGTTATGTTTTGTATTTTCTGTTGTAAAGAAATAGATTCTAAATTTTATCTAAATGATAAATGTCAGTTTGAATTAAGAAAGTTTCAGAGTAATTAGTTTATGGGAATTTTGTTTTGTTTTTTGGTGAAATAAGTCATGAAATATAATCTAAATTACCTAACTGTCAGAATGGTCAGCATTTGTGTCACAGTATAACCTTTAGAATACTATAGCTTGTATATTTAAGTTCACAATTAAGAAAAGAAAGTGACCTGATAAAGAAATATCAGGAAAGTAACAATATATATTTTTTTCTATTTGTTTGTTTTATTTGCTTCCTACTTATAATTTCTAGAAGTTGCAGCCACTATGTTTTAGCCAGATTGCAGTAGGACACATGAATAATAAAATGTGCTACTTCTAGTCAGTCACTCACTTTGTTTTAACCAGATTGCAATAGGTCACCTAAATAGTAAAATATGCTACCTCTAAATATCCACTCACTTTATGTTGTAACCAGGTTGTAGTAGGACACATGAGTAGTAAAATGTATTACTTCTAGACCAAAAAATGCTTGCGATAAATGATATTAGTGTTTCTTAGTGAGTAGATTCATGTGAAATTGTAATTCAGTTATGTGATGAAGCCCTCCAGTGGCTAAGTGGTAAATCTGAGGACTTATAACCCTAAAAACTGGGTTTCAATACCCATGGGCACAGCACAAATAGCACATTGTGTAGTTTTGTGCTTAACAACATACAAATAAATTGTGTGATCACAATATCATTTGTGTTAGTTGAATTATTTGAGTCTTAAAGTTTTTTGCAATAAGTTTTTACCTTGTGATATTCAAAATTTTAAAAACTGTAATAATCACAAATGAAAAATACTTTTTCTTTGATTCTGGTTATAAAGCTTAGTTCTTTTTTCAAAAATTACACTTACAAAGAAAATAATTTTATTTAACAAGTTGAATGTGTATGTCTCGCATCATATACTGTTCTTATTTAAATAATAATATACATTTTTGTTCTCATGTTTTTGACCATTTTAATGAACTCACTAAAGCTTTGAAAAAAATTGTACAAAAATCCTAACCAGAAAAAAGTTTTGCAACTTGAATATAAAAGAAGCTTTATTGAAAAACAACCTTAAATATATATATTCAGATATAAGGTTATAAATGTTATGTTTGGTACTACATCTGTTAAAATGAGTTTATTCATAAAAACGTTGAATGGTTTAATCTTTAATTTTCCATATCCTATTTATAGCCTTTGTATGATTTTATATGATAAGTATGATGTTTAATGTACATATACACAATTTCTTAAAATATTTAGTTTGAGGCAGTAAATTTGGGGACTTGTAATGCTAAACTTTTATACCCATGGTGGGCACTGTACAGATAACCATTTTGTTGTATTTTTGTTTAAAAAAACAACAGAAATCAAGTAGATGATAATAGAAATAATGATCTTTTTCTGATATCTGATTTGTGTATAAACTAATCTATTTAAACAAATATGAACCTTATCTTGCACCTTGTTTTAGGTATATTTGTTAATTTAATTTTTCATTTTATTTCAAACACTTTACAGTTATGTTATTCTGAATTAAAGGAATCTATAGAAAAATTAAGTTCTAGTATCACTATTGATTGTTGGTTAGTCAAAAAAAAAGCAATTCTGTTGTATGTTTAAAAGTTCTCACTTTGTTTGTCTTTTGTTTAAAGCCTTGACATGGTTATTGGATGTCAAATTGGCTTTTCAAGAGACAGGAAATTGATGATAGTGCATGAAGCAAACAATTAGTTTTTATGTTTTGTAAGTTATATTGTTTCTGTAATGTTAGTTTCATAAACATTTTTAGTATATATCATATATTTATTTTTATGAGATAAGTTTTATATTATTTTTTTTATATTTATTTTACATTGTTATTTTAGAGTTTGGGTTTAGAACCAACTTAAATCTCCTAAGCTGGCTGAACCTTGTGAAAAATTATTGAGATTATGGCAGAAAACATTGTTAACAGCTTCCTAATCATTATATTTTTATGACATTGTATACTTCTAGTTAGAACAGCATATTAAGTTAGCTTTATGAACTACCAAGTTAAGTTTTAGTTATGATCTATGTAATTAGCTTTCTTTGATCAGAAGCTAGTGATAGTTATATTGAAAGTTCCCACATGATTGTTTGTCAAATAGAATGGAGGTATGTCTTATGTTTAAAATGTTCACATTATTGTTAATGAAGTACAGCAAATCAAAACTGTTCAAAATTGGAACGAGCTTACAGTTTAACAAGAAGTGAAAGTTAGTTTCAGTTTAACAACCACAAGACTTTTTTGATTCTCTTAACTGGTCACTCATCCTGCACAAAGCAGCCAGTTATGAGAGTGACATTGATAAATCATTATATGGATTTAGAATTAACCTAAATCTCCTAAGCTGATACAACCTTATACAATATTATTTGGAGCTATAGCTGGAAATATTGTTGATGGAGGGATACACAACTGATGTACAGTCTAATCATTTTAACATTTAATTTTTTTGTGTATTAAATTCTCATATTATTATAGATTTGGCTTCATTAATTCCTAAGTTACTTTTTTGTTTTGATCTTGTATAGCTGGCTAACTTTTAATCAGAGAGTAGGAATAGTTTGTGAAGCCAAGAATGAATACCAGTTAAAGATTCAAGAGGGTTTTGTGATTGCTAAACTGAAGATGATTATAAATTAGCAAAGTAGATTGCTTCAATTTCTCAAACCGCAAGCTTGTCATAGTTTTTGGGTTGTCGCTTAGTTGGAGTGGGGATTTTATATTTGCTCTATTTTAAGTTGAAAAATCTTATCATTTATTGCAAATAGTTAGAATTGAAAATGTATTTTATGTCAATAATTCTCACACGATTGTTAAGATTGAGAATTTCATTTTAAGTTAAAAGTTATCACATTATTACTGATTGTTGGTTATTATTCAGAATGGATAGTTTATCTTATTTTTAAAGTTTTTGTGTTAGCATTGGTTGCAGGTTTGTCAGTTTGAACAAAAAGTATGTCTTGCATATAAAATTTTTGCATGATTGTTTATTTGTTATCATGGGAAAGTTTATGGTACATTTGTTGGAAAATAGTAATGTTATAGCTGACTATATTTGTGTGTGTGTGTGTATGTTTTATGTTTGAAATTTTAACACACTATGACAGATTATTGGCCCAAACTCAATATAATATATATAATTTTATAGATGGCTTACAATATCTTGTATGTAAAACTGGTTTTGAAACTTGTATGCATACTTTCACTTAGGATGTGCTGAGTATTGGTGCTGGATGTTCATCACTTAACGAATATCGTAGCGTTATATATTACCATGAAGATAAGCCTAAATGGATGGAAACCTTCAAGGTAAGAAATCAAGCTGTAAACTCACAAAACGTAAACTAAAATACCATTATCTATTGAAAGTATCATAATTGTTTCAACAGAAGTCTAAAAAAGATAAATAAATATTTACAGTTTATAGATTATCAAAATGTAATTTCTGAAATTTATAGCCAGTTTATTATTAAATTTACTGACCCAGTTGTTTTATGTCATACTGTGCTCATTACATTGTTTGATAGTCACCAATTTGTTTTAGAGCATTAAGTTATACATTATGTTTCTTTAATGTTATGAGTTATTTTTCTTATAAACAAAAGTTATAGTTTAGGGTTAATCTTATTACTTCTTCATTCTTATGATAAGTCTTGTGTCAGTGCTACCCCTAAATGTTGAATGGTATTATGTTCATGATTTGCATATGGACTAAAGGCTGTAGAATAAAGGTTCTGGCTGTTTTGCTAAGTGCCATTAAAAGATGTTGCAGTGAAGAAAACACTTAAGTTCACTATTTTCTATAATTGTTTGATCATATTTGCAACTTTTTTTATGTATTAAAGCAAATGTGAGTTCTTTAACCAAGAAAGGCTCATAATTATTTTGAATAAAAAGAAATGAATATTGAGTGTTAGCAGAGAAATATTGGATACAAATATTTTGTTATAAAACATAAGCATAGCTGATACAAATATTAAGTATTAGCAGACAAATATGACATACCAACCTTTTGGCATAAAATCTAAGCATAGCTGATGCAGATATTAAGTGTTAACAGATAAATAGAGAATACCAATATTTTATCATAAAACCAATGTACAGCTGGTACAAATATTAAGTGTAGCAGAGAAATATGGAATACTAAGATTTTCTCATAAAACCTAAGCACAGCTAATACAGATAATAAGTGTTAGCAAGAAATTTGAGATACCACCACTTTGTCATAAAACCTAAGCACAACTAATACAAATAATGGCTGTTTTTAAATCAGACAAGTTAATCCAATTAGATGAGATGCAAACAATGATAAGAAACTGCAGTAAAAGTACCACTGGTTTCTGATGTACTGGAAATTGTTGAATTATAATAATCCTTGTGAAGATAGCAAGGATTTGCAAATAATACCACAAAAACCAACAATCATACATTTTTGTATAAGATTTTTGTTTTGTAAGATAAAAAAAATATATCTTTGTAAAACAAAATATAGATAAAAAGACATAACTCAGAATGGAATGCACAGTACCTATGTATTGTAGTTTATACAAGTGTGTCATTATGTTTATGAAATATAGAACTTTTTTTTTTATCTCAGTTATTCGGTGTTTTATGGACCAGGATGGGATGCCAAGAAATGATTAAAGAAATATGTGACATTTTAAGGATTAATGACCAGTTTTTTATTGAGTTCATATTATTTTCTTTCAATATAAATTATGTTTTTTAAGCAAGTCAACAGGAAAACATGGAAAGAACAAGTTGTTTTATCACATAGTTTCTCATGTTTTCTGTATGTAACACGATAATTTTTTCACCACACTTTTAGGTTGCCATTCCTATTGAAGAATTTTACAGTGCCCATCTGAAGTTTACATTCAAACATAGATCTTCTAATGATGGTAAGTTGTTAATCAATTTAAGAATGCTGAATTAGCAACTTTCAATAGACTATATTGCACTTGCCTAGACAGATTATCATCATCATTTTGATCTTGTTATGCCACATACTGTAAATATATGTAGTAAATTTGGACTTCCTAAAAGTGTCTTGATGAATTACTGTGAATATATGGGGTAAATCTGGACTTATCAAATGTGGTGTGATGAATTACTCTGAATATATGTGGTAAATCTGGACTTATCAAATGTGGTGTGATGAATTACTCTGAATATATGTTGTAAATTTGTGCTTACTAGAAATGATGTGATGAATTATTATGAATACAAGCACAAATACCAATCACCAGTGACAGGAAACTTTGAAGTTAAATTATCAGTTTCAGTTATTTCATGGACTTTAAAAAGGTTAATTGTGTTGCACTTTTGGTATCACTCAGAGCCAAAGCTCTGAGCTACTTATACTGCCCAGTACAAAAAGTAATTGTTGAGCATTTCACTCATAATAAGAGCTGCTCTACAATAGCATACAGTAAATCTACATTTTAATTCTTTAAGTTTCATCACATTTTGAAATGTGAATCATAGTGTGATTAATTACTAGCAATTTAGTGCAGAATATCCTGCTCGCAAAATAAAATTTAGCATAAATGTTATTCATGCCTGTTTTCTTGTCATTTTAAAAGGGAATATTGAGCTTTGCTTGCTTGTGCAACTGTTCAAGCTGGGGACAGAAAATGCTCGGACAGACACCATGGTTCCCAATATATATAAAATGTGGTAAATCTAGGCTATTTCAATATATATATAGGAAAAGAACTCTAAGTATTATCTTCTAGTTCACACTGCTGTATCAAAAATGCAACTAATAGAAAAGTGGCTTTTGCAAATAATGCTGTGCATAGCCTATCTTATATAACTCATATTTGAATATAGATTACTGTTTTCTTTATTAATAATTTTAAGTGAATGGTGAAGGTATATCACTTATTTCTTTCGTGTTCATCACCTGTGTGAAACTTGTGCAAGAAAATTGAACTACTTAGGTGATGAATTTTAATGTTATCTGAAAAAGGTTTCTTTTTACTTCATATTATCAATAAATATTTTATATTCAGCATTCACTTAGTGGTATTAAAGTGTTTCCTGGCCCATGGATCATTTTTTACTGTACTCCAATTCCAAGAATGTGAATGTCTTTTAAGTAGTGTATCAAAAATTAAACTTCATTATGCAAATTTCAAATAATATTTGTCAATTTCTTTTAACTCTCGTTAAATAATTTATTGTCATGAGTAAAACTACTAAGGTATTTTGAATTTGAGATAATAGGAGCAAATTTACAGCTTTTCTCTTTCACAGCCAAAGACAAGTCAGAGAAATTCTTTGCTATGTCATTTGTGAAACTTATGCAAGAAAATGGAACTACTTTGGAGAATAATATACATGAACTACTAGTGTTTAAAGTGAGTAGTTTTCTCTTTCAAAGTTGAACACCCATTTATGTGATTTCAAAAACCTAACTTGTACACTTATGTATGAGATAGCAGTGTATTGTTGCTAAAGGTAAATGTTTCTGTGATGTACAGTTATCATTACTATTGGCAAACTTTTTTGTGAGTTAGCAATATATTGTTATTATTGGCAGTTTTTTATATCAGGTAGCAGTTTATTGTTGCTATTGGCAATGTTTTGTATGAGGTAACAGCTTATTATTGTGGTTGGCAAACATTTCTGTAAGATACCAGTGTATTGTTATATTGTGAGTTAGTAATGTATTGTTTCTATTAGCAAACTTTTCTGTGAGGTATCAGTTATTGTTACTATTGGCAATGTTTTATATGAGGTAACAGCTTATTATTGTGGTTGGCAAACATTTCTGTAAGATACCAGTGTATTGTTATTATTGTGAGTTAGTAATGTATTGTTTCTATTAGCAAACTTTTCTGTGAGGTAGCAGTGTTTTGTTACTATTGGCAAACTTGCTGTGAGATAGCATTATATTTTTACTGTTCACAAATGTTTATTTGAGATAGATGTAGATTGTTACTGTTAGTAATAGAAAACTATTTTGTGAGGTGGCATTGTATTGTTACTATTGGCAAATGCTTCTAAGAGGTAACAGAATATCATTACTCTTAAATTTACAAAGCTAATTTTGAGAGTGTCTCATAAAATTATTGTATTATTTCTTATATGTAAAACACTTGCTTGTTTCAACAGGCACATGAAAGCTTCTTTCTGTATTTGGACAAGCCCTACATACTGAACATGCAAATTTCATGCAGCCTTAGTTCCAGCTGCTTAGTGTGTGTTTATATAAGGACTAATCAATTCTGTCATGCTAATAATTCTAAAAAAGCATATTTTTAGGAAGGAATATAAAAGATTTTAAAATAAGGTTGATATTTGTATAAAAGAAGACATCATAAATTGCTGACACACAAAG